CTACTACTACTACTACTACTACTACTACTACTACTACTACTACTACTATACTACTACTACTACTACTACTACTACTACTACTACTACTACGACTACTACCACTACCACTGCTAGGAACAAGAAACTACTACCTAGAAAACCCAAGTATGCAAAAAAAATGTAATCGTGTTCTTTTCCGGCAAAAAAGGTCATCTCAGCCAAGAAACGTCATTGTTTTGTAAAATTGTAGTTGCTGCGATCAAGCCAGTGGAGGGTATGCAATATTCATTTTTTCAGCTGCTTCCAATCCCAAATCCAGCCTCTTCTTACACCAAAAGGTAGTTTTTCACCTAAACTTAGGCTCTTTCAGTCGGTTCCGGCGAAAGTGCAAGGATACACCGTACCTTTCGATGGCCCTTAGGATCACCTGCTTGCTTGCAACCTGTCTACTGACACGGCTGATTCTCCCAATAATAAGAACTTTGTTGGCTGCACAATGCCATTTAACTGACACGCAAAATTTGGACAGTTTGACAATTTCTCTCGTCTCAAAAGTGGTGTGAGAAAGATTTGGCGCTTGGGCCGAAGTCATACACAACCTGTAACGCAGTGCGAGCCCCTCTTAAGGAATCGAAACAACTACTACAGCGAGTTAGCTGTGTTTTGCTCCTGCAACTGCTGGAGAAGGGTGTCTTCCTCATCAGGGGGCTGCACAACATCATGTGTCGGGCAGGGCATGCCTTCAAATCCCTCACCTCACACAGAGTGGCGCAGCTCGAAACCAAGGAGTTGATAGGAGCAGGCGTGGCCACATCAAAGGAAACCTGCATGTACCAACGTACCAGAGGCCCCTGACACAGCAAAAAATTTTACATTCAAAACATCCAAACCGTGTCCGGCAATTTCCGCAATTTTTCCGGTGATTTCCGTCATTTGGACGGTAAATTCCGTAATTGTTTTTCGGCCACTCCTGCATGGAAGTTTAAATGTCCACTGAAAAAAATGGAAATCTCAGCGATTGCAGATCGAGCTAGGTTTTGTTTTCCCTTGCCCCAAGCGTTTCTCTATTTTTCAGCTTTGAATGATCACCGCAACTTATCCGAATCTTTCAGGCAAGATGGAATCAAGGCATTCCATGACAAGCTGTTGGGATAATTTGACACATCTCAAACACAGCATGCTCTCAGTGAAATTGGCTTCTGTCCGGTCGATTTCCAGGGCCTTCGCTTCGAAGTTCTTCGAGGGCAAAGGCAGAGCAGCTTTTCAACGTCTTGAAGTTTTGGCCACTCTAACCATGACTATGAACTAAATAGATAGAGCTCGACCACTTCGAAATGGTTTCGATGGCGATATGGATCTCCAAAGCAATCTTTGCAAAACGAGGAAGTTGCAATTTGTGCACAGGGGGCATCATGTATCATCTAAATGCCCTCTGGTGATTGCAACATCCTTTGTGTACAGAAAGTAAGTACTGGCGCCCTGTTCATTTGCCCACAACTCCAGACTGGAGATCTCAGACAGAATGGTCCCATGATTTCTCAAACAAACAGCAGTAAGTATGCAAAAGGTAACAAAAGGTAAAAAGGTAATTGTTATACAAAAAATACATTTTCAACAAAAAAACTGTTTTTTTTTTTCTGAAATTACAATTTTTTTGCATACTTTAGGTTTACTAGGTAGGTGGAGGCCATCACTATTAGGTTGGAGGCCATCGCTACGAACGGAGAGATCGAACGCTAATGTCGACCTCTGGACCCTCCAAAAGGTGCTGCCTGTGGCCTGGTGCCCAGAGCTGTGGCCTCAATCGGTGCTAAGAATTTTTCGACCTGATCTGAAGGTCTTGGTGGTTCAGGCTGAAGACTGACGTCCAAGCCACCTGAGAGCAGGATTGGATGATGTTCACTCGCTCCAGGAGGGTGGCTTCGTGGAGTATGCGCGGCGCTATGATGCCGTCTTTCAGGTGGGACGCGGCGAGCAGATGGGCGTGACTTTCACGTCTGATGCTGCGATGTCGGTCAACCTGGTGGGTGTGTCATGTTTAACATCTTTTGTTTGGGGGGAATGGGATTCGCTAGGATGCAACACCATCAGATGGAGAAAAGAATAAGAAAAAAGACAAATTATAGGTTTTTGCCATCTCCTTGCTGGAAGCAACGAGCGCAGCGCTAAGTTGAGCAAACACAAAACTAACCTGAAACAAGGCGCGCCTGCCCTCACAGCCTCGAAACCAAACCAAACCTCGGAACACTCACATTGTCCTTCCACCATACTACTGCCCCGTCTCACCTGTCTCGACGCCGCCGCCACTAAAGGAGACCTTGGAGCTTCGACGCTTTCCGATGGATCGCCAGCTTTGCAGGTGCGAACCGGTGTCCGATCCCGAGAGATGTGGCCCTTTTTTCCGAGACAACTCCGGGGTTGCTGGTGCAGAAAGACCGGACTTAATCATGGTTGTTCCGTGACAGACTCGGTGACACCGTTGGGGTGGGGATGGAGACTCGGTGCGGTTTCAGAAGGCGATGGAAGGAACGGTCTGACGGATCGTTGCTGGTGTTTGTGGGTTCCCAGAGGCTCCCGTTCGTATAGAACGAAGGTTCCAGGTGAAGAAGGAACATGCCAACGGCCAAAGCAAGCGCGTGGATGGGCAATCTGACGTCTAAGAACCGGGCATCTGGGGAGTTCGTATGCCTTCTCAGCGTGTTTTCGGTGTGATTTTCACCCATCGATGTGAGTGCCACAGGGTACTGTTTGGACGGAATTGGAGCGAGGGGCCCCCCACAGTCTGTGACAAGCAGCCAATGGAATTCTACATATCCATGTCCTTCTACCAGTTCGTAATCTCACTCCTCCTACTGTTGACTGTTGATTCTATATAGATCTATATAGTAACATCTATACAGAACCGTCCTGGTAGGGGCGTATGGAGGGTCGAGGGGTGGAAAAGAACTAGACAACCGTCAATGATCACTTCCCCCCTAATGCAGACTCTTGGATTTAACACCCTTCACACATGGATTGTAAGACCTCTTCATGCGGGGGATTGAAACAGAATCAAGAGTTTGCATGTTACAATTTGTTACAATACATTTGGATGAATTATGAATTTGGTTTCTTGCTCAAAGAGCCTTCCATCGGTGGTTGATGTGGTCATCGTTTTTCCTCAACCCCCACGACCTCTCACGATCCCACGATGGACCACCGCAGGATCAAACTGACGGCAGAGGCGGACATCCAGACCTTTCAGCTTCCCGGGCTGTTCGAAAAAACCGGTGAGACACGTCCTGGACCACACGGCGGGGGTCTTGAGTGTGTCTGTTCGGCCTGCGGTATGGTTTTCGCGGGAGGCGGAAGTAGAAGATGTGAAGATGGGTTTGGGATGCTTTGGGCAAAATCCCAGATGGTTTGGGCCAAATCACCGATTCTTTGGTGGATTTGACCCTTGGGACCGACCGAAGCAGCTGCCACCCCAGGTTCGTGGTGTTGGAAGGTGAGAAGCAAATCTCGCAAGTGAGCCATGACGAGTGGCGCGTCGAGGACCGGTCCGACTTCGGTGGATTCGGGGGGAAGATGCAGGTGTCGGAGGTACAGGTATGTACTTGTACAGGTGAAGATGTGACTGTGGGATATCAGACTGGCTTGGATTCAAAGCTGGGCTCATATGCGACATGGAGCGAACGAGTGACCAAGAACGATGCAAACGGATCCAATTGTGGGAGACACATTGGTGGGAGACACATTGGTGGGAGACACACTCTCTCAGCCAGTGCCTTTGTCTAACCTCAGCTCTAGACGGTCTTCATGAGTGTTTTGAGTTGCTGCACGCGCAGAATCATATGCAGAAGAAGTGCACCACGTACATCCGCTATGCCGATGAGAAGTTCCCTTACCCTGTCCAACGATCAAGTGTCAAGACCGTGCTACATTTGCAGCGCAAAGGTGACCTGCTGTGCTTGGTGGAGACCTGTGGGTGGGCAGCGGTTTTGAAAGAGGTTGGAAGGTGGGAAGGAGGTTTGAAGGAGCCAAAGATAGTCCCAACACCCATGACTTCAGGTCGAAAATGCATGATTGAGGCCCGTTGAACCCCGTGCTCTTAACCCTCACCATTGACATGTAGTGAGTCCTACTAGGTTGAGGATACAAAAATAAGGTTCTTTGAGTAAGGAACTTGACCTCAAACAGGTTAAAATGGAGGATACTGGTCACATTGTGTGTTTGTTTGTTTGTTCGCTTGTGTTTTTTTAATCATCCAAATGTCCTATGTGGAAACACATCTTGATATATAATATGTAACATATATATATAGAGAGAGAGAGTTTATCTAACATGCCAGCTTCGTGACTCTTTGATGTTATCGATTTGACGTTAAGCATTCAGTCTTTCACAGGACAGTCTCCCTGTACAACCCTGTGCTGACATGGTTGTGCGTTCACAATGAGGTGACTATTACTTCCACAACGTGCTGATCAACATTTTTTTGGTGCCTTCGCATGGCGGATCCCAGTTCAGGGGGCAGTTGCGCAGCTGCGCATCATTTCTTGAAACAGGTGGTCTCCAGTTCCCGGGGTGCTTGCTAAAGAGGAGCTCCTTTTTTTCGGACGAAATGGCTGGCGAGCACGAGCATGTGCAAGCAGAACAAAACCATCTCTTGAGATCTAAAGATGGTGTAACAGCTGATGTTCACAATCCTTTGTAGATCTTTGTACTGTCAGCAAGACTTGTGCACCTGGGAGACTAGTATTGGGCCGTTTGAAACTCGTGAGTTTGACTTGTATTCTTGCACTTGCGTACTCTCACGAGCTCCACAAGTATACTCTCACTTGAGACTTGGCTTAAGACACAGTCAGGAAAGTTCTAATACGGTACACCAATTCCCGCAATTTATGGAGAGTTTCCCACGGTTTGACATGGCTTGGTATTGGTATAGTCATTTATATATTAGTAAACATAGCACTAAAAAGGATTCATGTCATATAGCATCGGCGCGCTGCGATGTTCAACTTCAAGGTTGACCCTCTAGGGGTATGGCCCACGTCAATTGCTGGATTGAAACACCTGGTCAGGGCTTTTGACGATCCCTGTCCTTGGTCAGTGTTGGTTCGGAAAAGGGCCTGTCCACTCTCAATGTGACTATGACATGAGGGCCCCCTGCTGGGAATCAAGGAGAAGACCGGAACGCCCTTCCAATTACAAAGCAGTGGGAGAATGGTGTCAAATTGCACGGGTTTGCACAGGTTCGGGTTGGTTCTTCCTGCAATTTTCTGCAGGTATTTTATCCTAGGTAGATGACCAGCAGTTGCCGAATTCTTGTCCCTTTCCTTCAACAATCTGAACATGTCTCTTTGCCAAAAAGTGACACTCTGTTTTTCCCCACCACCCGGAACCACGTCGAATTCACCGTTCCCTCCACACCCGACCGTGCCGTCCAGGTGAATGTGATTGCCCTCTTCAGCTTTGCAGTCCCCGTCTCCGATACCGGCGATCGGCTGAGCTTACTGTCCACCACGCTGGTGGCAGTGACTGCGTATCAGACGGTGATCAACCAATCGATCCCGCAGCGAGGTTGCAAACGAGATTGGACCCCGGGAAAAGATGGGAAGAGATGGAAGTGAAAAAGCGAGATGTTGGTGTGTGGGATGTGGAGGATGTCCAGGTGGAGCTGTTGTGATTCAAGATGCAAGCATGGAGATTCAGATGAATTATTGGGGTGCTTGCATGTGGATTTTGTCTTCAAGGTCCCCGGTGATTTTTGGGATGTGCTAATGGTGTCATGACCTGGACCTTCTTTGGCTTTGTGCATGTTTGATCATCTTTGATGTACCTTTTTTTGCAACCACGCTTAAATCATAAAACATCAAGACAAGAAGGCATAACTTGGTATTTTTCTTGCTCAGGAGCATTTCTAGCTATCTCGCCACCTACTTCCATGAAGATGAAGCTTCTGGTATTTTCCAGGGGCTTGTGGGGCACAGGGAGATGAGAGACACGTGGCACTCGTTCAGATGTGTGTGTGTGTGCCCCTTGTAGTCACAGGGATTCTTTTGTATTGTTTTTCGTGTACTTCAGCGGGGGGGCTCTCGGAGCCTGCATGAGACGAGAGTCAAAGAAGACTCTCATGCAGTGCTTGTGTAAACGTACCTGCTTGGTGCACCTGGGCGCATTATAAGACGCAGCTGGTGGCCACCCTTCTTCCTTTTTGTAAAGGGCTAATGAGCTCCGCAGACTTACACGCTACGACGTCAACCTGTCGTTTCGCTTCCGGCTTACGCTTTGGGCCACAATTCCCTTTGAAGGCCTCCAGGATCCAGGGGTTCGTACATGTACTCTTAGGAAATGGTACCCTAGGCCGGCGTGTGGCACCGCTGTCCGTCAGTACGCATATCCATAAGTGTGTGAGTCTGGATCTGACCGGGCCGCTTGGGGGATATGTAAAGATGAAACTATATGCCTTCCTGGGTGCACAAACCCAAAAGCAGAGCGGCTGCCCATTAACGATGTCCCCGGTACTTTGGGACGTTGGGGACTTTGTTATGGAAGCATCTATACTCAAAGACTTACACTTCCTGCAAGAATCATTCATTCATGCACTTTGGGTAGTTGGTCATAGGGTAACTCATCAACTTTGCATAATTTTATATTTGGAAATAGCATTTCGTAGCAAAAACACATTTCACATTAAAACACATTATGTATATATATACATATATCACATAATAAAACGGGAAGAAGTGCAATAACTACTCCACAACTACCCCCCTGGTCACTCACCCCACTGTTGTTTTCCACTGCAAGCTCACACATCATCACCACCTCGGATGATTAGCACCAAGTGTCCTGGACGCTTATTCCTGTTTAAAGCTGCCCATTGCTTCAGCAAAGCTCTAAGTGTTGAAAGGTGCGGCTCCAGTTGAAGCAGGCAAAGGTCTCCCTTCCCAGCTCACAGGACACAAAGAACCTGTGTTTTTTCACCCTGAGGATCAAATGCGGATTAGCTGAACTGGCCCAAGTTGATTGGAAATGAGTTCTAATGATTTCTAGTGTCTGCGTTTTTGGTTTATGTGTTTTTTTAATGTTTTAATTTGTTGACTGTTGTGATGAACCTTCATGAACCCACTTCTGATGAGCCTACCTGTTACAAAAGAAATCATGGAACAAAACGGATGGTATGGCCCCAAGGACTCGGATAAGCATCTTCTGACAGTTCAGTGGTGAACTCCAGGTGGTTAAGTGAACGAAACCATGATTATTTCTGGATGTGCACACGGCCCCGAATCGTGACGTTCCAATGTTGCTTGTTTGTTTGAGTGGGGAGGGTGCCACCCACAGTCTTGGAAGTTGACTTCGATCTCGCTGACGCTCCTTCGCTGGCGCCCTCCCAAGGCGGAAGGCCTACCTCACAGCCTGTGACAAATATGTGATCTTCGCAGTCATTTTCCAGGCAGGAAGGATGGTACGGTGTGCCCAGGTCGAAACCATTTGTGACGTCATACCATGGTCATGTGCAGAAGACGAACGCACTTCGCCCAAACGAAGAAGCCGTAGGAATTCGCAGGGGTTCGCGACATCTGAGTCTTGGGGTTGTGCCCTCACCCATTGCGTTTGAGAGTGAGTCGGGAAGATCACATGATCATCAAAACCATAAGCCATACACACTTCATTCGTCATCATTGTGGAGTAAGTAGCTTTAGCTTTCATGGAAGATCATCATTATCATCATTGCATGTGTGTGTTATATATACTGTATATATAATCCGTTCATCTCCTTTCCCACTTAGGATGTCTTCAAGTTTGATCTTCCTTCCTTCCCAGACCTTCCCAGACCTCGAAGTCACCTTTTGTCTCCCAGAGTATTTGAAAGCCGTGCTGTTTTTCATTACCGTGGCCGTGGCAGTCAAAATATGAAGAAGAACCTGTTCTCCAGACATCGATTCGCTCTTCCCCCGATGGTGAACTGATCCGCTTGCGGTCATTTGGCGCCACATTCATGGGATGGTGAACTGGTGTGTCGGCTGTGTCGGCTGCGTTGAAAGTGCTCGGTGGATCTGAGCGAATATCAAGTCTTAAGATTCTTAAGGGGAACAATGTGTTCCTTGGAATGCATCAAAGGGACGATTTTGCACACAAATCAGAACCTCCCGTTTCTGACAATCCGATAGAAGACAGGCAAAAGGGCTCAGGCATTTTTGTCAGACCAAGCCTCCGGAGCGTGAATCATGTGGAGTGGTCAAGGATGGTCAAGTCAAAGACTGTGGGGATGTGACGGGGGTCAAGTCAATGCCTGGAGCCGACTACAGTCGTACCTCCGCTTTCATGGGTACAGTCGTACCGGGGTATGTGTTATAGGGTCATGTCCCATTGTCGTACTTGTAGTCAGGTTCAGGTGTATGTGCGGCATCGTTGGGCCCTACATTGCGGTCACAAAACAGGGTGGACCCTTGGTTTTCTTCCACGATTACCAGACATGGTCAACCTACCAGGGTTTGGAGCTGTAGGTATTGAGCCACATCACATGGCTTTGACAGTTTGACTGTGAAGCGACTCGAGGGCTTCTCGAAGCAGTCAGAGAGCCTGTTCTGCCAGGTCCTCATCGGAATCGAGACCACCATCGTGGCCTTCATCTTTCAGTACCATGATTGGGATGAGGCCCTGAAGCAGTTTTACTCCAGAAAATGCCGAAGCACGGGAGCAGGGAGTAGAGAGTTTACAGGTTTACCCCATCATCGAAAGGAGAGTGTCTCGGTACAAGTCGAGCCGCTAGAGTAGCTCGGAACAGCTGACTCGGAGTCGGTGGGGATGCTGTGTTCGGGAGACGCGACTCACCGCTTCCGGCGGGAATGACCAAAAAACACTTCACAGAGGCGATGAACCCAGCGAGGATGTGACACGTGATCGCCGTGATCGCTAAACGACGGCACAGAACCAGGACGAATATTCATGAACGACAGGTCAGAGCTGAGTAAAGACAGCTGAGTAAAGACAAACGACTGCGGTGCTTCATGCCTGAATCTCTCGAGCTGCCCGTCCTCAAAGGGTGTCGCTTCGACCCCATGTTTGAAGTGTGTCCAGCTCATGCGACAGGAGATGCCAGCGCGGATCCGACTCATTGACTCTTGGGATGTAAACATCAGGTGTCAACCCAACGACTGTAAGTGCGCGTGGTGATCTTCTGCACGGAGCATTAAGACCTGTTGAGATAGTTTCGGCGATGGAAGGGTGTACTGCCGATACATGTTGGATCATTTTGGATAAGCCCTTGCCTGTTCAGAAATCATATCATTTGTAGTACAGGTCAGGTGTACATGATGACCGTCGTTGTTGACATGTTGACCCATGTTTGTTTATGCCGAAAGATAGATCCACTGTCAGCCTTGGACTCGATGGTTCAAACAAACCCGACATCACATCCTCATTGATGGCCTAGGGCCTAGGCGGTTGAATGTGACAGACTGCATGAAACCATTGATCGAAGCAAGGGGCCATGGTCACCAGGTCAATGAGCGAAGTTCATCAAAGTTCTAGGTTCCCTGCTGTTTGTTGAAATTTCGGTAGCAACAGTTTGTCAAGGACGGCATCCTACCAAAGTGATCCAAGCATATCTCGATGTGTGTGTTTTCTTCCCGAAGATATCTCGGAAGTACTCCAAGAATTTGTATCCTATGATCGCACTGGAAGGCTTGTGCAGAATCTGGGGAGCATTCCACGACCGCCTCACAGCAGGTCTTTCTGGGGAACAGCAGTTTCTTTGTTTCATCTTCAGAATTGAATCCGTGAACATTCAATTAATTGATACTTGGACTTGACACTCAATTGGCGAGATATTGGCAGCCAATGCGTCGACAGTCGACAGAGCAGCCAGGACGTAGGCATTGGACATCATCAAGACCTCGATCTTGACTCGTGACCCTTCCAGCCTGGGGAGTTCGACTTAAAAACCCCTGGGCATCCAGCAGTTCGCAGTGGTCCTCGAACCCTTCGAACCCAGGTGTTTGAGGGCCCTTTTCTGTCTCTTCTGGTGGAAGATCTCTGCACACCCGAGGAGTCAATTTAGTAGCATTCTTGTTCCGTTCGTAGCGATGCCCAAGGATTCAATTGTTGGGATGGCCCTGGGCACTTTGTGGATCGTCAGCAATGGCGCCATTTTGCTCTTCTTCCACACACTCCGCGACAGCTGGAAGGTGTCGCGGTCGCAAAGAAAGGGGGGTAGCCCGTGGGGCACCAGATGGCACCATTGTGTGTTTTCCCCTTGATTACATGAGCCATCTCGCGTGGCAGTGGAAGACATGCAATCCACTGGAAGAATTGCGCGTCCTGAGTCCACCGAAGAGGAAGCGTTGAGCGATCACTAAAGGGGTCGACTTGATTCGATCACAGTGATCACAGAAGTGGTCGAGTGTGATGGTCCTTTTTAGGAAAGGTTAGGTGGTGGGGTCGGGTTGTAAATGATCTCTAATTACAACAGTTTGTGGTCGTGGTGATGAAATCCAGCCGATACCAGGTGTGACGTGATCGGATGTGATCAGTTTGTCAAAACTCTGCTTCGTGAGGATGTCCATCTTGAAAGAAGAGTTGGGTGGGTGGGAGGGATATGTCATGTCTCAGAAACAATACCAGGCCTCAGCCTCGGCCTTGGGAGGGTCCCCGGTTGACAGGAGCATGTTTGCTTCGTAGCTTTGGCTCGTCATCTACCCTCTTTTGAGTTCCATGTGTCTATGCAGAGCCCAGGCGGTCTATGAGATGAACGAAGAACCATTCGCTCCGATGCTGAAGTGCCTGAAGTGCCGCGAAAAGTGGCATTGCAAACAGGCCACCCACAGCGAGGACGACTGAGGGAACTCGACTGGAGAAGACGTTGAGACGTGCTCAAAGCGTTTGGAAATCATGTATGTTGGTTGAATGGGTCTTCGGCCCATGATCCTAAGATTATGTATATATAGACATAATGGGGTTCTTGAATTCTTGCAAGTCTAGGCTTAATGTAAAGAGGAAATGGAAGTTCCCAGCAAAAGCAGTGCCAAGGGAGTCAACGTATTCTATCGTCACCGTTTTCCCCTATCATTCTAAGCTACAAGTCCATCGGAAGGTGTTCTGTGGTTCAGGTTTCGGTCTTGCAAATGCCAGATGTTGCTGTTCGTTTGATATGCTCGCACACTCAAAGCACAACAATTCGTACCTGTGAGTGCTTGATTCTTTGCAGAGGTTTTGATCCCGCTTTGAGTACCCCGAGGCGGAGGGTCGCTTCATCAGACGCAACTAGCCTTCTACCTACTCTGTTGATCACCTCAGGAGCCCCAAAGACAGGTGTGTCCCTTCTGTGGTGAGCAATCTGCCCAGCTTCGGAAGCACTATTATACGCCCAGCTCCAAGGCGCACGAGTCGGGTTCGCGTCACCGTCCTCCGGCTCCCGTTCGCGGGGCGATCGAAGAAGGCGTTCGTCTCGGGCCGGGAGACGTGAAGCACTGAGGAGCTCTTCAGTTGCAACTGAAGGTCTGGTTCACTTGACAATGAGCACCATCTCTGAGTCAGGTCATGTCAGTCATGTCCCATTTTCTTGCTTACACTGGACACTCGGGCATAATACATCATAATCAGTATATGCTATAACATTGCCGAGCTACGCCTTCGCTGGCCGGCGATGTCTACGTAGAGTTTGAGGCAACCCCTTTTTCCTTATTTATAGGACCTTGTGAAATAACAAAAAGGCTTGCCTTAAGACTATATTGATCTTTGCTTCTTTGTCCCCCTCTCTCAACACCAATCAACATAGGCAACCGTTTCTTTCCTTGTTTTGGGCTTGCCGAGAACCGTCCAAACGGTCGCCCTTTCAGTGTTCTTCTTCTCTGTCAGCGTTCGGCGCGTCGTCGGCTCGCCGAGGCGACCGATCTTGTGAGTTCAAAGGACAAGGAACAACAAAGGATATCCTTTGAAAACGTAAAACTGGTCTTTTCACTGGTCTTTTCATATTTACGTCTTCTTTAACAAGGAAAAGACCAGTTATAACTGAAAGCCCCCCCAAACGCATTTGTTTACTTGAAACATCTCGGACGGCGCGACGTCGGGTGCAGAACTCGGACCGTTTTCTCGGCGAAGTCGACGCCGGAGAAGTGGCCCACTGTGAGGAGTCGGACCAACTTCCATTCGGGCGGAAACGGTTCGAGCAAAGGAGAAGCCGGAACAAGCCGATTAGTGTCATATATCATGTAATATGTATATATATATATGATCAGCAATTTTTTTAAATCAGACTCTGGATAAAAATTGACTCTGGGATATTCATAATACATAGCTTCGCCGGACATCCTATTTTTACTGCTGTTGCTGCTGTTGCTGTGCTTCATTCTACCTCATCTTCATCAACACAGAGGTCTGCCTGGCATGTTTCTGGAGCTCAAAATAGTGTTGTGGCAGGTAGTACCAGTAGCCTTCTCATTTGCCATTGGACCGCAGCTTTTGACTCAAAACCTCCGGACCCAACGGACATTGACCTTTCTCGCCGGACTTCAGCATGCCCCCTATCTCTGCTGAGCCAAAGATTGAGGCCAGCTGGTAAGCTTCAACTTGAAGTTTATGTTCCCCATCGCCCCATCGAACTCGCACGGCTTTGCA